TCTGAGTGTCCCTAGGTGTCTCTGCATGCCGATGGTGGTCCCCAAGTGTGTCTGAGGGTCTCTTGGCATCTCTGAGTATCCCTGGGGTGCAGACTGGTGTCTGTCTGTCTGGGGCCATCTCTGGCGGCTGCCTGGAAGTGTTTGTGCAGACTGGCTGGCCCTGCCTGGGACTTAAGCCTGGGACGGCTTCAGGTACATTGGGGGGCAGCAGAAGGACCACAGGGAGGTGCCCTCTGAAAGTTCCAGGCTCCCTTCAGCCAGGGAGGGGGCCCGTGGAGTCTTGAGCTGTCCCCTTTCCCAGAAACCTAGGTGTAGCCAGCTGGGGCTATGTCAGGAAGGCCCAGACCCCAGGGGCCCCAGACCCTAAGACTCCAAGACCTCTGAATCCCCAGACTCCAGGATCCCCAGACCCCAGGACCCCCAGATCCCAGGGCCCCCAGACCTCTGGATCCCTAGACCCCAGGACCCTCAGGCCCCAGGACCCCCAAACCCCAAGATTCCCAGACCTCTGGATCCCCAGGCCCCAGCACCCACAGACCCCAGAACCCTCATATCCTAAGACCCCCAGGCCCCAAGACTACCAAACTCCAGGGCCCCCAGACTGCAGGACCCCCAGACGCCAAGACTCCCAGACCTCTGGATCCCCAGACTTCAGAACCACCAGACCCCTGGACCCCCAGACCCTAAGCCTCTCAGACCTCTGGATCCCCAGACCCCTGGACCCCAGAACCCCCCAATAAACCGCCATATCCCAAGACCCCTAGATCCTAAGACTCCCAAACCTCTGGATTCCCAGACTTCAGGTCCCCCAGACTCCAGGACCCTCAGATTCCAGGACTCTCAGATCCCTGGATCCCTAGACCTCAGAGCCCCCAAATCTCAGGACCCCCCCATCCTCAAACTGTCAGACTTCAAGGACCCCAGCTTCCCCAGACCCACCTCCAAAACTCACTATCCCAGACTCCAGACCTGCCCGTCCCCCACCACCTGCAGCCTCGGGTCTCGCACTTCCTCATTTCTTCATTTCCTTCTTTTCTAAGACGCCTCCCAACTGGACTCCCCCTGTGGCTTCCCTGGGCGTGGAGGACGTGCAGCTGCATGAGGCTCACTGCTGGCTGGGCTCCTCCGTCCCTCTGCTCCTCATAAAAGAGGCCCCAAGAGCTCCCCTGCTCCCTCTGCTGCCTACTGAGGACACAGTGAGAAGATGGTCATCTGCAAACTAGGAAGTGAATCTGCTGGTGCCTTGATCTTGGACTTCCCAGCTTCCGGAACTGTGAGGAATACATTTCTGTTGTTCATAAGCTACCCCAGTTTATGGCATATTTGTTATAGCAGCCTGAAGAAACACTTGGAGACATTTGCTCTCTACCCAGGGCTGCTCCCACCACAGGGCCTTTGCACATGCTATTCCCACTCCTGGATGCTGTTCCCCACATCCCCTCCTTCTCACTCCCTAAGGGATTCCTTGATCATCCCATTAAAAAGTTGCTTCTGGGCCGGGCGCGGTGGCTCACACCTGTAATCCCAGCACTTTGGAAGGCCAAGGCGGGTGGATCACCTGAGGTCAGGAGTTTGTGACCAGCCTGGCCAACATGGTGAAACGCTGTCTCTACTAAAAATACAAAAAGTTAGTTGGGCATGGTGCCATGCACCCGTAATCCCAGCTACTCGGGAGGCTGAGGCAGGAGAATCACTTGAACCCGGGAGGTGGAGGTTGCAGAGAGCCGAGATCGCACCTCTGCACTCCAGCCTGGGCAACAAGAGCAAAACTCCATCTCAAATGAAAAAAAAAAAAAGTTTCCCCATCTCATTTTCCCTTATTTTTCTTTGCAGCTTTCCCACTACCTGTAGTTGATATATTTTCTTGATGGATTCTGCCTGTCTTCTGTTTCCCCAACTACAGTGAGAGTCCTGGGATGGTGGGGGGGGGGGCAGGATTTTTGTGTGTTTTATTCACTGCTGTGTCTGTAGTTCATAGTACCAGGTATACAACAGGAACTTCATAAAGGCTTGCAGAGGAAATGAATGAGTCTTTCCTTATAGGTTCATAGAGATCTATAATTTCATTTTCAAACTCTGTGGCACACCAGGATGGATGAACGGTTATTGATGTACCCAATCCTTTAAGAGTTATTTCCTTTTTTTTTTTTTTTTTTCCTTCTTTTTGAGGCAGAGTATCACTCTGCACTCTGTCACCCCAGGCTGGAGTGCAGTGACACGATTTCGGCTCACTGCAACCTCTGCCTCCCAGACTCAAGTGATCCTCCTGCTTTAGCTTCCTGAGTAGCTGGAACTACAAGGATGTGCCACCACTCCCAGCTAATTTTTTTGTGTGTGTATGTGTATATATATATATATATATATTTTTTTTTTGTAGAGATGGGGTTTCACCATGTTGCCCAGGCTAGCCTTGAACTCCTGGACTCAAGCGATCCTCCTACCCTGGCCTCCCAAAGTGCTGGGATTACAGGCATGACTCACTGTGCCTGGCCCTTTTTTTTTTTTTTTTTTTAATGTAACAAACAATGCTGTAATGAATCACTTTGAGCTTGGAGCATCTTTTTGCCTTCTCTCTCTTTTTTTTTTTTGACGAAGTCTCGCTCTGTCACCAGGCTGGAGTGCTATGGCACGATCTCAGCTCACTGCAACCTCCAGCTCCCTGGTTCAAGTGATTCTCCTGCCTCAGCCTCCCGAGGAGCTGAGATTACAGGTACACGCCACCACGCCCAGCTCATTTTTTGTATTTTTGGTAGAGACGGGTTTCACGGTGTTGGCCAGGATGGTCTCAATCTCCTGACCTTGTGATCTACCTGCCTCAGCTTCCCAAAGTGCTGGGATTACAGGCATGAGCCACCGCGCCCAGCCCAGCCATTTATTTTAAATTATGTTTTAGAGATGGGGTCTTGCTCTGCTGCACATACTGGAGTGGAGTGGCACAATCACGGCTCACTGCAGTCACAACCTTCTAGGTTCAAGGGATCCTCCCACCTCAGCCTCTGAAGTAGCTGGAACTACAGGCTGAAGCCACCATGCCCAGCTAATTTTTAATTATTAATATTATCATTATTATTATTGAGACGGAGTCTCGCTCTAACGCCCAAGCTGGAGTGCTGTGGCATGATCTCGGCTCATTGCAACCTCCGCCTCCTGGGTTCAAGCGATTCTCCTGCCTTAGCCTCCCGAGTAGCTGGGATTACAAGCACGTGCCACCAACCATGCCCAGCTAATTTTTGTATTTTTAGTGGAGATGGGGTTTCACCATGTCAACCAGGCTGGTCTCGAACTCCTGACCTCGTGATCTGCCCACCTTGGCCTCCCAAAGTGCTGGGATTACAGGCGTGAGCCACCACGCCTGGGCTGAGCCACGTTTTTTTTTTTATTCGTTAGTCAGTTCACACTGCAAACATGCAAATATTCAGGCAGAGATTCCCAGAAGTGAACTTGCTGTGTCAGTAGACACATGAGTTTATCATTCCGATGGCCTGTGCCAGGGTGCCCTCCATCAATGCTACACCATGGACGTACCCCACAGCCTGGCTGGCACAGAATGTCATTGCACTGTTGGATTTTTGCCAATTTGATTGGTGAAGACAAATAGTTTGTAATTTGCGGTTTTCTTATTAAGCGTGAACTTTTTTTTTTTTTTTTTTTAAGACAGATCTCACTCTGTTGCCCAGGCTGGAATGCAGTGGACTGATCTCGGCTCACCACAGCCTCCGCCTCCTGGGTTCAAACGATTCTCCTGCCTCAGCCTCCTGAGTAGGTGGGTCTACAGGCACATACCACCACACCTGGCTAATTTTTGTATTTTTTATTGTTTTTTGTTTTTGTTTTTTTGTTTTTTTTGAGACGGAGTCTTGCTCTGTCGCCCAGGCTGGAGTGCAGTGGCCGGATCTCAGCTCACTGCAAGCTCCGCCTCCCGGGTTCATGCCATTCTCCGGCCTCAGCCTCCCGAGTAGCTGGGACTACAGGCGCCCACCACCTCGCCCGGCTACTTTTTTGCATTTTTTTTTAGTAGAGACGGGGTTTCACCGTGTCAGCCAGGATGGTCTCGATCTCCTGACCTCGTGATCCGCCCGTCTCGGCCTCCCAAAGTGTTGGGATTACAGGCGTGAGCCACTGCACCTGGCAAGAATGAGCATCTCTGGACATGTTGAAGAGCAGTTTCCAGCTTTTTCTTCAATGTCTTGGTTCAAAGCTTTTGACCATTTCTCGGAGTTTGGCGATGGGAAGGACAGAGGCTGAGGAGAGGGGAAAACGTGAGGGAGTGGACTCCCACCCTCCCAGATCCCGGAGAAGCCTCTGTGCATGTGACAGCGGTGGACATGGTGGCACACACAGTTAAGGTGGCACAGTGAGTCAGGGGCTGGCATCGGTTGGAACCTAGTCCGCCTGACACCAGGTTCAGGTGAGACCATCTCCCAGGCCACCCCTCCCCGGTATCACTTTTGTCACTACTAACCCTCCAGTCTGCCTCAGGCCCCCGTCTGCTTCTGGAACCTCAGCCTCCTCCCCATGTTGCCCACCCCAGACACCAGGCTCACTCCAGAGGGACTTCTTGAGCCAGTGCCCCTCTGCCCACACACCTTCCTTGGCTCCACATGGACCTCTTCCCCTGCCACCAATTCCTTCTATCCTCTCCACTCCTAACCATGCTATCCCAGCCAGCTACATTTTCTCAAGCTGCTGGGAGCCCTCCTCACTGTCCCCTCCAGCACAGAGGTGCCATTGTGCAAGAACTCAGTGGGAGGGGCTTGGAGGAGCTTGGAGAGCCAATTATAGGTTTGAGGAATCTTGGTGAACTCCTACTCATGTGTTGAAGCCCCATTGGTAATGCCTCCTCCTCCAGGAAGCCTTCCAGGACCCTGTCTTTCCCTCTGGACCTTCCTTGACTGCATGGGACTATGAGTGTCTATGTCCAACTCTGTCCTCCCTTAAGATAGCTCCTTGAGGACCTGGTCAGGGCTGAGTCCTTTTGGGGGCCCAGCGTGGGTGATGTTTGTTGAATGAATAAATGACTGCATGAGGTGGGAGCCAACTGAGCTGAGATCGAGAAGCGAATTGATGAGGTGGCTGTCGGTTGGGGTGCTAATAGAGGACATGAAGTCACTGGGTTCTAGCAAGAGGGAAGCGGGACCCTGGGCCACCCCTCCCCCTTGCCCTCCATCCACCTCTCATGAGAACTTTGAGGCCCTGCAAGGGGGCGGATCTCTGTCTTCATTCTTCCCCTCTGCACTCCACCCAGATACCAGTTCCTCTTCCCCCTGAGTCGCTGGGTGCAGAGCCAGAGGAACGCCGGCGACCCCAGCAGCGCTGCGGAGGGTGCTGTCCATTGCGGCCCCCGTGTCCAGGTGGGCCAGGACGCAGCCTCTGGGCGCCGTCGCTTTTCCAGCACCACCGAGGCAAAAGCGTGGCAGTAGGACCCAAAAGGTAGGACTGAGGCTCTAGAACTTGCACCTGTGCAGGGACTGCAAATCAGACCTGGGAGGACCCTCTCAGCAGCCCCCACTCCCCCCTATCCCAGCACTTCCCAGGACCCGCGGTTCTGGGAGATACTAGGAGCGGGATCAAGGGGCGGGGCCGTTTCCGAGACAACCGCTTATTTGCATAGGGTCCCGTCCTGGCCAACGAGGGCGCCCCAAATGTTCAGGACGTAGAAGAAAGGGTTAACTAGGCCGGGTCTCTTCCTCGCCTTCTAAGCCTGCTGGGCACGGGGGTTACCTACCCATTTCCCAGAAGGGGAGACTGAGGCAGCCCAGCAGCCAAAGGAGGCAACCAGACTGGGGCTGCGTTGTACCATTTCAGAAGCGGCTTGAACTGGTCTAAGGTATAATCATAAACACTAGCGGTGGAGGCAAGGGCGACCACAGGGCTGAGGTCAGGGCTAGGATTCCGGTGTCTCTATGTAGGTTGCTTGAATGGGGGGCACCCTGGCATGGACGCTGCTGTTGCCGCTGCTGCTGCAGGAGTCAGACAGCCAGGAACCGTCATGCACCATGCCCTCCACCGATGTGGACTGGAACACGGAGTTCAGTGCCATGTGCCTGAATTTCAGTGGCCGTGGCCTGAGCCTGCCCCTCAACCAATCTCTGCGGGCCAGCAACGTGCTTCTCCTTGACCTGTCTGGGAACGGCCTGCGAGAGCTTCCAGTGACCTTCTTTGCCCACCTGCAGAAGCTTGAGGTCCTGAACGTGCTACACAACCCGCTCTCCCGTGTGGATGGGGCGCTGGCTGCCCGCTGTGACCTTGACCTGAGGGCTGACTGCAGCTGTGCCCTGGAGTCCTGGCACGAGGTCCGGCGAGACAACTGCTCTGGCCAGAAGCCTCTGCTCTGCTGGGACACAACCAGCTTCCAGCACAATCTCTCTGCCTTCCTGGAGGTCAGCTGCGCCCCCGGCCTGGCCCCTGCAACCATTGGGGCAGTGGCAGTCAGTGGGTGCCTGCTTCTCGTACTTGCCATCGCTGGCCCCATGCTGGCCTGGAGACTCTGGCGATGCCGAGTGGCCAGGAGCCGGGACCTGGACAAGCCCTGGCCTGCTCAGGATAGGCCCAAGCCCAGTTTAGGCTTCCAACCACGGTATGGCAGCCGGAGCACCCCCAAGCCCCAAGTGGCCACGCCACCCCGCCCCTCCACTCCCGACTATGAGAACATGTTTGTGGGCCAGCCAGCAGCCGAGCACCAGTGGGTTGAACAAGGGTAAGTAACCCATAGAGACACCTGTCAAAGTGGTGAATAGTAAGGCTCCACACCCAGATGGCCGGGGTTCAAATCCCAGCTCTGCTGCTTGCAGGCTGTAGGATCTTAGGTGAGTAGTTTTACTTCTCTGAGCCTCAGTCTCCTCACCTATAAAATGGGTAGAAGACTGGACGTGGTGGCTCACACCTGTAACCCTAGCACTTTGGGAGGCCAAGGCAGGCGGATCACTTGAAGTCAGGAGTTCGAGACCAGCCTGGCCAACACGGTGAAACCCCGTCTGTACTAAAAATACAAAAATTAGCCGGGTATGGTGTCAAGCGCCTGTGGTCCCAGCTGCTCAGGAGGCTGAGGCAAGAGAATCGCTCGAACCTGGGAGTCAGAGGTTGCAGTGAGCTGAGTTCGTGCCATTGCACTCCAGCCTGGGTGACAGAGTGAGACTCAATCTCAAAAATAAAATCAGTAAAATAAAGTAAAACAAGGGAGAACTACAGTCCCCTTCATAGTGTGTTGGGGGTAAAAATTAAATGAGTTCCCATATATGGGACAAGCTTCCCCCTCATGACCTGTAAACCCAGTTTCTGGTGGCCAAGGATGGGGAGACAGGAGGCAACTGCTTGAATGGAGTTGGGGCTCTGCGGTGGCAGTCAGCAGCATAGGCCCAGGTCCCGTGTGACCCAAGGCTGTCTCTGAACCTCCATGTCTGTCTCCATAGAATGGGGACAGCCCTCCCTTACCCCATGACACACATGAGATGCTAAGGAGGTGCCCTACAAAGTCCCGTCACCACTAGATGACCTTTTTTTTTTTTTTTTTTTGAGACAGTCTCATTCTGTTGCCCAGGCTGGAATGCAGTGGTATGATCACAGATCAGTGCAGCCTCAAACTCCTGGCCTCAAGTGATCCTCCTGCCTCAGTCTCCAGAGTAGCTGGGACCACAGACACCTGCCACCACACCCAAATCATCTTTGTATTTTTCGTAGAGATGGGGGTCTTGCTATGTTTCTCGGGCTGGTCTCAAACTCTTGGCCTCAAGTGATCCTCATGTCTCAGCCTCCCAAAGTGCTGGGATTATGGGTGTGAGCCACCGCTGCCAGTTTCTAGATGATTTTGCTGGGCTTAGACAAGTGAGTTGAACTTTTCTAGGTTGGAGTAGGGTGCGGTGGCTCATGCCTGTAATCCCAGCACTTTTTGAGGCCCAAGTGGTCAGTGGTCAGGACCTCAAGACCAGCCTGACCAACGTGGTGAAACCCTATCTCTACTAAAAAATACAAAAACTAGGCTGGGCACCGTGGCTCATGCCTGTAACCCCAGCATTTTGGGAGGCCAAGGCGGGAGGATCACGAGGTCAGGAGTTCGAGACCAGCCTGGCCAATATGGTGAAACCCTGTCTCTACTAAAAATACAAAAATCAACCGGGCATGGTGGTGGGTACCTGTAATCCCAGTTACTTGGGAGGCTGAGGCAGGAAGAATCACTTGAACTCAGGAGGTGGAGGTTGCAGTGAGCCCAGATCGCACTGCTGTACTCCAGCCTGGGTGACAGAGTGAGACTCCGTCTCAAAAAAAAAAAAGAGGAAGAAGAAAAAAACTTTTCTAGGGTGGAAAAGGGAGTGGAGGGAATTTCAAGGGGCGGGACCCTCAGGGACAGAGACCCAGAGGCGGGAAAGAACAGAGAATTTGCTGTGAATGGTTTTTGAGAAGGGATGACTTGAAAGCTGAGGCCTGAGGGGAACAGGGAGGGCCAAGCAGGAAGGGGCCACAGCCACGGCTGTTTGGGCGGCAGAGTCTGTGCCAGGAGCTGGGGAGGCTATCGGAAGACTGTCGGTAAGAAAGAAGAAAATATGCAAAGCAGATGTAAACATGACTCAAAAGCAGAAATGATCTGAGGCAGGGTGTTGAAGACACTGGACTCACAAAAGCAGCTTGTGCTCTGATGTTCACCGTGGCCTCCCTATCCCCGAGGCTTCTGGATTAGCATCTTTTATGTACCTGGCCTCCAGAAACACTGTGTTTAGAATTGACTGTGTCATTTCCACCCTGCATCTTACACTTACGGACATGGAGGCTCTGGGAGGCAGGGAAATGACTTGTCCAAGATCACATAGCCAGTCAAAAAAGGCAGGACAGAAACCCTGCGTCCCAGTTCTGTTTGTCCCCCCACAACCCCTTAGGTGTTAGCGGGCAATTCATACTAGAGTATAATTGACTGATAGATGCTATATACTCAAAGTGGCCCTTTTGCCTTTTTTTTTTTCTTTTCTTTTCTTTTTCGCTCTGTCGCCCAGACTAGAGTGCAATGGCATGATCTTGGCTCACTGCAACCTTCACCTCCCGGGTTCAAGCGATTCTCTTGCATCCTGTCTCAGCCTCCTGAGTAGCTAGGATTACAGGTGCCCGCCACCGTGGCCAGCTAATTTTAGTAGAGACGGGGTTTTGCCATGTTGGCCAGGCTGGTCTCGAACTCCTGACCTCAGGTGATCTGCCCATCTTGGCCTCCCAAAGTGCTTGGATTATAGGTGTGAGCCACCGCACCCGGGCCAGTGGCCCTTTTTACAAGAGGAGCTGGGCTGGAATTAGAATGTTCAGGAGGCAGGAAAGTTCTCTGGGGATCTTGCTGGCCTTAACAAATATTCCTAAGTAACTCCCTGCTCCGTGGCCAATTCTATAGATGCAGAAACTGAGGCTCAGAGACTTGCTTTTATGTATGAGGGCCACAAAGTCAGTTGCTTCGGTGTGGAAAATATTTCCCATCAGAAGGGGCAGACAGTATGGTGTAGCCACTTGTGTGCATGTGACTGATGTGGCCAGAGCTTCCGATTTTTCAAGAGGAAATAAAAATTTAGATTTTAATGTAATAATGAGCAGCTACCTCAATTTTGGTTTTTTTGAGACAGGGTCTCCCTCTGTCACCCAGGCTGCAGTACAGTGGCGTGGTCACGGCTCACTGCAGTCTCGACCTCCCAGGCTCAAGCGATCCTCCCATCTCAGCCTCCCGAATAGCTGGGACTCCAGGCGCATGTCACCACGCCCGAATAATTTTTTTATTTTTTGTAGAGATGGGGTCTCACCGTGCTGCCCAGGATGGCCCAGTGGCTCTGGCCTCAAGCAGATCAAACTCCTGACCTCAGGCAGATCTTCTGCCTTGGCCTCCCAAAGTGCTGGGATTACAGGCGTGAGTCACCATGCCTGGTCGCTATCTCATTTTTAAGGAAGGAAAAAGGGTTCAGGGTCCTCCGACCACAGCGTTCCACCCACAGAACCTTCCCTAAATCACTCCCCTCCCACTCCTCAGAGACAGGTGGGGCTTGCTGGGAATCAGAACTACCCCGTGCCACAGTTTCCCCATATGTAAATATTCGGGGTGGACTGAGCCACTCTGAAGCTTTCTTTCTTTTTTTTTTTTTTTTTTTAATCTTCTGAGACAGAGTCTCGCTGTGTCTCCCAGGCTGGAGTGCAATGGCACGATCTCAGCTCACTGCAACCTCTACCTCCTGGGTTCAAGCGATTCTCCTGCCTCAACCTCCCAAGTAGCTAGGGCTACAGGCATGTGCCACCATGCCTGGCTGATTTTTGTATTTTTAGTAGAGACAGGGGTTTCATCATGTTGCCCAGGCTGGTCTTGAACTCCTGACCTCTGGTAATCTACCCACCTCAGCCTCCCAAAGTGCTGGATTACAGGTGTGAGCCAGAGTACCTGGCCCACTTGGAACTTTCTCAAAGCTCATGTTCCTGTCCCCTGAGTCCTCCCCCTCCCTCACTTACCCCTGGTCTGTGTGTCCCCCCAGGGCTCACCCTTCAGAGGACAATGACTTTTACATGAACTACAAGGACATCGACCTGGCCTCCCAGCCTGTGTACTGTAACCTGCAGGCACTGGGCCAGGCCTCGATGGATGAAGAGGAGTACGTGATCCCTGGGCGCTGAGCCTAAGATGTCCCAACCTCCACCCAGACCCCCTTCAGTCCCTGCTGGGTGACTCAGGGCATCCTAACTCCTCCAAGGCCTCAGTTTCCCCATCTGAAGAATGGGGACAGAAGGGATCCTTGAGGCCCCAGGAAGCTCTGCCGACCCCTCCCTGTCCCCTATGCCGCTCCTCAGCCCGCTTGGCTCCTAGAGGGGGAAGAGGAGAGACCCCCAACAAGGGGACAGGAGGGTCACTGTGTGAATCCTGCTGTCACCCTCCTGTGGATGTACAGGCAGTGCTCAATAAATACGTTGAGGCTGATGAAGCTGCTGGCTCAGGGTGAGTGGGTTCCTCAAGGTGGGGATTTCTGAGTTCTAAGACCAAGTCTCCATCTGAGATTCCCAAATTGCTCCCCACCTCCCATCCCTGTTTTGTTTTGTTTTTTGTTGTTGTTGTTGTTGTTTTGTTTGTTAGTTTGTTTTTGAGTCTGAGTCTCACTCTGTCACCCAGGCTGGAGTGCAGTAGTGCGATCTCGGCTCACTGCAACCTCCGCCTCCCGGGTTCAGGTGATTCTCCTGCCTCAGCCTCCCAAGTAACTGGGATTACAGCACCTGCCACAATGCCCAGCGAATTTTTGTATTTTTAACAGAGACGGGGTTTCGCCATGTTGGCTAGGCTGGTCTCGAACTCCTGACCTCAAGTGATCTGCCCACCTCAGCCTCCCAAAGTGCTAGGATTACAGGCGTGGCCACCGTGCCCGACCACATTCCTCCCTTCTGCCCCTCTCAGGGCCCCTTCCCAGGTTCCTGATCTCCAGGTTCGGCTCCCAGTGCAGCCCACACCACCCCCAAAATAAAAATGTATATATATTGCTTTAGCTCTAATATTCTGAGAAAATCCTTCAAGATCCTGGTGCAATGCCGCCTCCTCTGAGAAGCTGTCCCTGGTTTCTTCTCAGGCAGAGTTAATGACTCACAGACGTCTGTATTTCAAGAGTTTTTTCAGGCTCATGACTCAGCTGGGTTTCCTATCAGCTGGTCCCTGCCCAATCCTTCAATCTGGAGGAGATAGAACTAGAGACAAGTACCCTTAGTCCTGGGAGATCAAGCCTGGGCCAAAGGGAAGAATGGGGGCACAGTCCCCACATGGAGACAATTGAATGAGTTTGAATAAGGCTGCATGTAAGAGGGGAATCTGCAGTGGGGTTTGAAGGATGCATAGGAGTTTGAGAATTGGAGAGGAAAGGGCATGCTGGGTGGGTGGACCAACTTCTGCAAGAGCCTGGAGAGGCACAGAGAAGGCACAGGCCCAACACTGTACTTTGCAAAGACAACAGCTGTTGTTTGGGGAAAGACCCAGTGATGCCATCTGCTGTCTTTTGGTGTTGAGTTTAATTTTGAAGCCTCCTAGGTGCCCATTTTCACCAGCTTTGCTGTGACTGAAGTGAGCCTGCTCCCATCACAGGGCCTTTACACTTGCTGTTTGCATTTACTTGCAATGTCCACCCTCAACTACTCGCTCCCTGACTGCTTTTCTTCCTCCAGGTCTCAGCTCAAATGGGACCTCCCCAGGGAGGCCTCCCCATCCAACTGTCTAGATCACCTCTGCCTCCGTTCACTAATGAGCTGATGGGTTGAATCCCCAGCACAAATCTTACTGCAATCAACTACTTTCTTAGGATTTACTCATTTGTCCCCTTCACTTCACAAAGTGGGGTGGTTCTTGTTGTGTCTTCTTACTGCTGTGTCCCGGGCCTGGCATAAAGTGGGCACTCACTGAATACGTTAAGGGGAACCTGCAGTCATTCAGGTTGGCCTGTGGGTGGTAGCATTCCCAGCAGATACACTTCACTGCTGGAAGTGGGTACTCTGTCCCGGAAGACACCCATCGCCATTCCTCTGAGAGATTCAGGGTGAGCAGGCAGTTTGGTGTGGGGAGGGGGCTGGACTCAGCACACCTCAGAATTCTAAGATCCTAAACAGGAAGTATATATAACCTGGGAGATGTGGTGCGTGTGAAAATATTCTTCACAACTTATTTGTTCCTCCCTGCTCTTTATATATGAAAGAATGAGGTGTCACTAACATGGAAGTGCCACAAACAGGAGGAGTGATGGGATTCACCACTCAGGTTGAGGACAGTGCCACAAAACAAAGCACTTGGTGGCAGATAGACTTGCCTCTGAGCTGTCTGTGTTTGGAAAGGTGACTCCCAACTTGGGAGAGAAAACAGGATGGTGATAGAGACAGAGAGAGAGACAGATACCTCTGCCTCAGCCCCCAAAGAGAGAAGTTCTGAGGAATGAGGCAAGATAGAGGGAAGCTGAGACTTAAAAGGGTATGAGGTCTCAGCTGTTTCCAAAACAGAAACACCAGCCTGGGCAACCTGGCGAAACTCAGTCTCTACAAAAAATACAAAAATTAGCTGGGCGTGGTGGCATGCGCCTGTAGTCCTAGCTACTCAGGTGGCTGAGGTGGGAGGATCGATTGAGCCTGGGCGGTTGAGGCTGCAGTGAGCTGTGATTGTGCCACTGCACTCTGGCCTGGGCAACAGAATGAGACCCCATCTCAAAAAAGTAAAAATAAAAAAGAAACAGAAACAGGGAGATAGAGAAATGGAGACAGAGAGTCAGGAATGGCCAAGGCTGCCCTTGGAGCCCACAGGTATCGTAAGCACCTTCCAATGGCCTGGCATCTCCAAGTACACTTTGCCACTCATTCCTTGAACCTTTCCACTCACCCCCTCCAAGGTCTCCTGGAGAAACTGAAGCCAGGGAGAGGAGGATCTTCTCAAGGTCACCTTCCCTTATCCTGGACACCACAGGGAGCGGTTCAGACAGCTTTATTTTTATCACCAGAGTTTTAAATAAATACACAGTTCCATCAGACCAGCCCCCCAGTTCCTAGGAAGGTCACCCCAATAAATTAATAATAAATAGCAGATATATAAATACAGCCGTTTGGGCAGGCATCGGGTGTCTCAGGACCCTTGAGCCCATTCCACAGGCCAGGACAACTAAGGTCGCGTCCCCAGGGCAGGTGCACAGTCTAAGGACCAGGGCGCCTCATACGCAGTGGCAGTCTTTGGCTAACAAGTCGTCATAGGTCTGGAGTGACACCCCGGTGTCGGTCTTTTGAATGAGCACCATGGGATTGTAGCTGGCGGGCACGCAGCAGGGAGCTGGCACCGTGTCGGGCTTCAGGCGGTGCAGGTTCGTCTTGATCTGCGCGTGCATGTTGGCCTCCCGGAACTGGCTCGGGCACGCGCCGATGCACATGGTCACTTGCACCTCCCGTGGCGACAGCACCCAATCGGCCCAGCCCAGGTCTTCCAGCGACGCGTGGACAGTGTGCAGACGGCAGCAGCGCCCGGGCCCGAGCGGACAGTGGTCCCCGTTGCGCGCACGCGCTCTGCGGCGCCCCCTGGCGGCTCGAGGCCGCAAGTGCAACTCCAGCTGGGGCCGTGCGGACGAAGACTTCACCAGCAGTTGGTCCGACTGCAACGGCGGCGGCGACAGTCGCAGGTGCAGCGCGGGCGCCTGGGATCTTGCAAGCCTGAGCTGACGCCGCAGCGGTCGTGTCACGTCCCACGACCTTGACGCCGTCGGGGACAGCCGGAACAGAGCCCGGTGAATGCGGGAGGCCTCGGGAAGCACCTCGGGCAGGATGGCCCGGGAGATACGCAGGTGCAGGTGACCGCCAGATCCCAGCCGCACTGTGGGAAAGACAGATAGGGAAGCTGGTCACCCACAGGCCTGCCGTTTTCCAGGAACGGGGGTGCCCATTTCCCCTAACACACCAAGCTGGATCTCACCACGGCGCTGGCGCGTTTGCACAAGTTTATTCCCCTACCAAGAGCATTTCTCTGGCCGGGCGCTGTGGCTCAAGTCTGTAATCTCAACACTTTGGGAGGCCGATGCGGGCGGATCACTTGAGGTCAGGAGTTCAGGACCAGCCTGGCCAATATGGTGAAACGCCCACTTCTACTAAAAATACCAAAAAAATTAGCCGGGCGTGGTGGCTGGCGCCTGTGATCCCAGCTACTCGGGAGGCTGAGGCAGGAGAATCGCTTGAATCGGGGCGGTGAAGGTTGCAGTGAGCCAAGATCGCGCCACTGCACTCCAGCCTGGGCAACAGAGGAAGACTCCCTCTCAAAAAAAAAAAAAAAAAATGGAGCATTTCTCCCCTGAATCTCAGTAAGGCTGGCTCCTCCTCCTTCCAGCCTGCCTAAAATAGGAAGCACTCTATTTTATTTCCTTGTGTGTCATTCATATTCCCTGCTTAGAATCTCAGCTTGGTTGACACTGTGCCTGGCACACAATAGGTGCTTAGTAAATGCCTGAAGGAATTAATGTATATCTGATATTCAGACAAAGATTCCAACCATGGCTCTGCTTTTCTTCTGGCAGTCAAAAACTTACTTGCTTCACTTATTTATTTATTATGGTCTTGCTGTTACCCAGGCTGGAGTGCATGGCTCAGTGCAGCCTCAGTCTCCTGGGTTCAAGTGATCCTCCCGCCTCAGCCTCCTGAATAACTGAGACTACAGGCATGCATTATCACGTCTGGCTAATTTTTTTAAAAAACTTTTTTGGTGCTGGGCGCGGTGGCTCAAGCCTGTAATCCCAGCACTTTGGGAGGCCGAGACAGGCGGATCACGAGGTCAGGAGATCCAGACCATCCTGGCTAACCCGGTGAAACCCCGTCTCTACTAAAAAATACAAAAAATTAGCCGGGCGTGGTGGCGGACGCCTGTAGTCCCAGCTACTCCGCAGGTTAAGGCAGGAGAACGGCGTAAAACCCGGGAGGCGGAGCTTGCAGTGAGCTGAGATCCTGCTACTGCACTCCAGCCTGGGCGACAGAGCCAGCCGACGTCTCAAAAAAAAAAAACCTTTTTTGGTAGAGATGGGGTCTTGCTATATTGCCCAGGCAGCAATGTTCTGGCCTTAAGCGATGCTCCCACTTCGGCCTCCCAAAGTACTGGGATTACAGGGGTAATCCCCAGAAATGAGTACCAAACCCATCACATTCCAGACTACTGAGCCTCTAGGAATCACAGCCCCTCAGGCTGGTACAAGTGTTAGGGAGACTGGGGTGTGAGGGTGTCTTGGCCTAGTTGCCAGGCTCAGCAAGGGTGAGAGGTTTTCCTGGAGTCACACAGCACAGATGGGTCAGGGCAGGCTAAGAGTGCGCCCCTCTGCCTGCCCCCTCCTGGGTCCCACCGCAGCCCAGACATCACCCGGTGCCCTGCACCCCTGGAGCCTCAGTGCATTTACCCATGGAGGGCATAGAGATGGGGAAAATACTGTCCTCCCCTAACAAGTCACTTGTTGCATGTGACTTTAGCAGTGCCTTGACAAGCGATTGCATCAGATTCAGACCAGCTCCAACTGGTTCTGCCCATCACAAACCTCTATCCATGCACCACACCCCCATCCTTTCTCTTGGATCCTGGCCCCAGCCCAGGTCAGGGACCATGCCCACATCCCACACCTGACCCTGTCCCCAGGTTTCCCAGGTGCTGTGCACATTCAGTAGGGTCCCTGGCATCCCTGTGCCTCAGTTTCCCCATTTATAATTTGGGAACAGGTTATAACCTCCCACGTTGTGGGTGCAAATCAGGCATCAGCTACCCCATTAGACCCAAGGGGGTCCAGGATGTTCCTACCCAGGGCACAGACAGGGCAACTGAGGCTCAAAGGTAGGTCTGGGCTTTTCAAGACAAGAGGAATCCCTGGTTAGATATGGGGGATGCTTGGGGTGGAAGGGGATCTCTAAGATTTCACTTACCTTCTGGTGTGAGTATCCGGACCTCAGGGGCCCGGATGAGGTCGGTGTTCGAATCTTCCCAGCTCTGGTTGGCCCGCAGCCTGGTCAGCAGGTCCTCGTAGCGTTTCCGCAACTCTCGGAATCTGGAGTCTACGGAGTGCAAGTCTGAGGGTCCCGGGAAACTTGCGCGGCTCGCCTCGCCCAGAGACACGGCGCCCCCATGCGGCGGCCATAAGAGCACAAGCAACACCAAGAGCATCTGAGAACCATTCAGTGTCTGGAGTTCTTGCCCGGTCATGGCTGTGCTGGTTGCGGCTCTGAGCTGAGACTGACCAGATGCTGCCGGACCGGCCTTTATAGTCCCCGGACTTTGTCGGTCTCCGCCTGCTCAGTCCCGCCCTCCTCCCCCTGCCTGCAGAGTAAACACTCCAGTGGCCACAGCTGGGCGGGGTCTAGGGGTGTATTTAGGGGGAGGATCTTTAGGTGGGGGCGCTCCTAGTAAAGCTAGGGCACGTTTCTGGGCTTCAGTATGAGGACACCATTCCAGCCTGGGAGTCTGTTTGGAGGAAAAAAGACATTGTTACTATGTGAAAAATTCCAGACAGGAATTTAAGAAGTGGCTGTCTGTGCCCATGGGATTTCCTCTCTTCTCTTTTTGGTTGGGGTCAAAGGCTAAAGATGGTGAAAAACAAAGGAAGCAGAGGAAAACGGGATAGATGGAGCCAGGAAGGGCAAACTTGATGTGTCATTCCTCTCTGTCATGCTTGTTTCCTCACCAGGAAAAAAGGGACTGAGACTCTCATTGGAGAGGTGGTCAAATGAGGAGTAAAGCACAGGGCCAGACACATAGGAAGCGCTTGATAAACTGGTTATTGCAGTTATTCATTCTCATCTGGAGAACTCCTACTCATTCTTCAAAACTCTGTGCAAAAAGCCCCTCTTCCAGAAAGTCTTCTCCAACATTATCTTTCCAGGCTAAGCAGGGTGCTCCCAAACCCCATCCTTTTGTCTGGCTCAGTGCTCACCTTGAAGCCATCCTCACAGGATTCATAATTCTGGGGGCCAGGCATGGTGGCTTATGTCAATAATCTCAGCACTTTGGGAGGCCGAGGTGGGTGGATTGCTTGAACCCAGGAGTTCGAGACAAGTCTGGGCAAGATGGCAATATCTCGTCTCTAAAAAAAAGAATTCTGCACCGTGCACCGTGGCTCACACCTGTAATCCCAGCACTTTGGGTGGCCGAGGCACGTGGACCACCTGAGGTCAGGAGTTCTAGAGTAGCCTGACCAACATGGAGAAACCCCGTCTCTACTAAATATACAAAATTAGCCGGGCTTGGTGGCACATGCCTGTAATCCCAGTTAGTCGGGAGGCTGAGGCAAGAGAATCCCTTGAACCCGGGAGGCAGAGGTTGCAGTGAGCCGAGTTCTCACCATTGCACTTCAGCCTGGGCAACAAGAGCAAAACTCTGTCTCAAAAAAAAAAAAAAAAAAAAAAAAAAAAAAAAACCTGGACATAAATTTAGTTATAATTAAGCATTAATCAGGCTGCACTTTGACCCACTTCCTTGTGACTAAGTTGCTTGCAACACCTGATACTGACCGTTTGCTATAGATGGGATTTCCGACCTTAGAATCATAAGACTTTAAAAAATAATTACTTAAGATGTTTTTGAAATCCTGAATGCCAGCTTAACTGCTGACACCCACCAGTGTGAAGACCCCACAGAGGAATGGAATTCGCATGAGAATAGTTTCTTACTGTGACTTCACCTCCTGCAGTCTTTCACCAAGCAATGACCTCCACACTTCAGCCCACTCCAAAACCCTTAAAAACTAAAACCCTAGCCCCAGGCCGGGCGCAGTGGCTCACGCCTGTAATCCCAGCACTTTGGGAGGCCAAGGCGGATGGATCACCTGAGGTCAGGAGTTCGAGACCAGCCTGACCAACACGATGAAACCCTGTCTCTACTAAAGAAAATTCAGAAATTAACCAGTCGTGGTGGCACATGTTTGTAATCCCAGCTGTTTGGGAGACTAAGGCAGGAGAATCGTTTGAACTTAGGAGGCGGAGGTTGCAGTGAGCTGCGATCTCGCCATTGCACTCCAGCCTGGGACACAGAGCAAGACTCCATCTTTTTTTTTTTTTTTCTTTTTTTTTTTGAGACGGAGTCTTACTCTGTCGCCCAAGCTGGAGTGCAGTGGCACGATCTCGGCTCACTGCAAGCTCCACCTCCCGGGTTCATGCCATTCTCCTGCCTCAGCCTCCCAAGTAGCTGGGACTACAGGCGCCTGCCACCACGCCAGCTATTTTTTTTTTTTTTTTTTTTTGTATTTTTATTAGAGATGGGGTTTCACCGTGTTAGCCAGGATGGTCTCAATCTCCTGATCTTGTGATCCACCTGCCTCGGCCTCCCAAAGTGCTGGGATTACAGGTGTGAGCCACCACGCCCAGCTGACTCCATCTTAAAAAATATATAGGCCTCCCGAGTAGTTGGGATTACAGTCGGGCACCACCACACCTGGCTAATTTTTATATTTTTAGTAGAGACAGGGATTCACCATGTTGGCCAGGCTGGTCTCAAACTCTTGACCTCAAGTCATCTGTCGGCCTCTGCCTCCCAAAGTGTGGGGATTGCAGGCATGAGCCACTGCACCCAGCCCTTTTTTTTTTTTTTTTTTCCCGAGACAGTCTCTAGCTCTCTCGCTCAGGCTGGAGTGCAGTGGCATGATCTTGGCTCACTGCAACCTCCACCTCCCGGGTTCAATTGATTCTCCTGCCTCAGCCTCTCAAGTAACTGGGATTACAGGTGTGCACTATCACGCCTGGCTGATTTTTGCATTTTTAGTAGAGATGGGGTTTCACCTTGTTGGCCAGGCTGAGCTTGAACTGCTGACCTCAGATGATCCACCCGCCTCAGCGTCCCAAAGTGCCGGGATTACAGGTGCGTGCCACCATGCCCGGGTAATTTTTGTATTTGATGTAGAGATGGGGTTTCACCCTGTCATGTTGACCAGTCTGGTCTCGAACTCCTGACCTCGTGATCCACCTGCCTCAGCCTCCCAAAGTGCTGGGATTACAGGTATGAGCCACCATGCCCGGCCCCAAACTAAGAACATCTTCAAAGAGAAAGAAAAAGAGTCGTAGGGGCTGTCCTGGGGGTGGAGGTCTCTGAGAGCTCACCTGTGCTTTTGGACAAGGCTGGGGTCTGGGTCCTCCTGGCTCTCCTTGTCTAACTTGTGCTCTGAAGGTCCTGGTGGCATTTCTGCAACTCCTGGAACGTGGAGTCATCCAGATCAGAGTGCTTCTCCAAGGGTCCTAGGAACCCCAGAAGGTTCTCACTGGGCAGAGTCAGGGCGCCCCCCCAGGGTGCTCCCAACAATATCTGTAACATCAGCAGCATCTGAGAGCAACACTGGATCACGGGTCCTGGCCTGGGTATGGCTGTGCTAGTTGCTGTCTGAACCGCACTGACACTTTGGGTCTGGCTTTATAGCCTGCACGTTCCCACCCAGCCGTCCCCTACGACCCAGACCCTGCAAGCAGGGTAAACACTCCAGTGACCACGGCCAGGCCAGGTCTCAGGAATGCGTTCTTGCAGAAGAACATAAGAGGGGTGCCTCTCTGACCCTCTGTATCCTTTCCCAAGAAATAAGGACACCAGGCCGGGCGCGGTGGCTCACGCCTGTAATCTCAGCACTTTGGGAGGCCGAGGTGGACGGATCACGAGGTTAGGAGATCGAGACCATCTGGCTAACATGGTGAAACCCCGTCTCTACTAAAAATACAAAAAAAATTAGCTGGGCATGGTGATGGGCACCTGTAGTCCCAGCTACTTGGGAGACTGAGGCAGAAGAATGGCATGAACCTGAGAGGCGGAGCTTGTAGTGAGCTGAGATCGTGCCACTGCACTCCAGCCTGGGTGACAGAGTGAGCCTCCGTCTCAAAAAAAAAAAAAAAAAAAAAAAAGAAATAAGGAATAAGGACACCATTGCAGCCTGGTAGTACTTTTTTTTTTTTTTGAGACAGGGTCTCGCTCAGTTGCCCAGGCTGGAGTGCAGTGGTACAATCTCGGCTCACTGCAGCCTTGATCTCCCGGGCTCAAGCAATCCTCCCACCTCAGCCTCCCAAGTAGCTGGGACTATAGGCATGTGCCACCACACTTGGCTATTTTTACAAAAAATTTTTTAGGCCGGGTGCAGTGGTTCACGCCTATAAATTCCCACACTTTGGTAGGCCAAGGTGAGCAGCTCACCTGAGGTCGGGAGATGGAGACCAGCCTGACCAACATGGAGAAACCCCGTCTCTTCTAAAAACACAAAATTAGCCAGGCGTGGTGGCACATGCCTGTAATCCCAGCTACTCAGGAGGCTGAGGCAGGAGAGTTGTTTGAACCCGGGAGGCGGAGGTTGCAGTGAGCCGAGATTGCATCATTGCACTCCAGCCTGGGCAACAAGAGCTAAACTCCATCTCAAAAAAAAAAGTTTTTTCACGCCTGTAATCCCAGCACTTTGGGAGGCCGAGGCGGGCGGATCACAAGGTCAGGAGATCGAGACCATGGTGAAACCCCGTCTCTACTAAAAAATAGAAAAAAATTAGCCGGGCGCAGTGGCGGGCGCCTGTAGTCCCAGCTACTCGGGAGGCTGAGGTAGGAGAATGGCGTGAACCCGGGAGGCGGAGCTTGCAGTGAGCTGAGATTGCGCCACTGCACTCCAGCCTGGGCGACAGAGCAAGACTCCGTCTCAAAAAAAAAAAAAAAAAAAAAAAGTTTTTTTAGAGATAGGGTCTCACTGTGTTGCCCAGGCTGGTCTTGAACGCCTTGGCTCAAGGAAACCCGTTGCCTCTGCCTCCCAAAGAGCTGGGATTATAGGCATGAGCCCCCACACTCAGCCAAGCTGGTAGTCTTTTTGGAGATCAAGGCTGCAGTGAGCTGTGAGTATGCCTCTGCACTCCAGCCTGAGCAACTGAGTGAGACCCTGTCTCAAAAAAAAAAAAAAAGGACTACCAGGCTGGAATGTTGAGAACTAGGACAGTAAGTAGTGTACTTTTTGTTTCTGTTTTTGTTTGTTTTAGAGACTGGGTTTGGCTCTGTTGCCCAGTCACTGCAGCCTCGACCTCCTGGGCTCAAGGGGTCCTCTCACCTTAGCCTCCCGAGTAGCTGGGACTAGAGTAGCTGGGACCACAACTGGCTAATTTTATTTTTTGTAGAGATGGGGGTCTTGCTATGTTGTACAAGCTGGTCTCGAACTCCTGAGCTCAAGCATCCTCCTTCCTTGGCCTCTCACAGTGCTGGGATCCTGTGATGGCGTGAGTCACAGCATCCGGCCACTTGCCTGGCTCTACTTCCCCAAATTTTTAACCAATGACCTCATAGTCAGCCTCGTGGCCAAGCTAAGAGGAGAGATGGGGCAGATGTAGGCAGGTGGCCAGAGATGAGCTCAGCAGGTCGGATCCCTTGTTCCTCTCGGACAGCTTCCATGGGTCCCCAGAGGTGGAGCCGGGATGGAAGTAAACAGAGCTCAGGGGCTGGAGGTCAGGCCAGTCCCTCTACCTGGCAGGGCCGCAATCTCCCAAAACCTCCCCCAGCCGACCGCTACGACCTGCTCTCAGCTATCGACACCTTGTCAAACACAATGGCATGCAAGAGCACGAACCCACTTTTATTGATGGTTTCTTGTAATGTAAGGTAAACACAGTCATAGCAGGAGATTTGGAAGAGGCACAAAAGCGGATTATTTAAAAACTTCCTGTAGGCCCGGAGGACAGGGAGAAATGCTGTCTCATGCTGGTCATTGTTCTCGAAGGACAGGATGTGCCTGTGCCATCTAGGGGGTTCCGCAGCCAGTCCGGGTTCTTTTTGTTTTCTGTTTTTGTTAGTATTTAGAGACGGGGGTCTCACTATGTTGCCCAGGCTGGTCTCAAAACGACTGAGTTCAAACGATCCTTCCGTCTTGGCCTCCCAAAGTGTTGGGATTATAGGCATGAGCCACTGTGCCCAGCCATGGGTTCACTCTTTTTATTTTTTTATTTTCGAGACAGAGTTTTACTCTTGTTGCCCAGGCTGGAATGCAGTGGTGTAATCTCGGCTCACTGCAGCCTCCCAGGTTCAAGTGATTCTCCTGCCTCAGCCTCCCAAGTAGCTGAAATTACAGGTGTGCACCACAATGCCTGGCTAATTGTTTTTGTATTTTTAGTAGAGACAGGGTTTCGCTGTGTTGGCCAGGCTGGTCTGGAACTCCTGACCTCAGGTGATCTGCCCACCTCAGCCTCCCCAAGTGCTGGGATTACAGGCGTGAGCCACTGTGCCCAGTCACGAGTCCATTCTTAATTCAGCATGATCTCAGTACAAGATTCTCAGTTTAATTACATTTGCAAAGACCTTTTTTCCAAATAAGGTTGCAGATACTGAGAGTTAGGACTTGGACATATCTTTTTTTTTTTTTTCTTAGACGGAATCTCGCCATGCAATCTTGACTCACTGCAACTTCCACCTCCCAGGTTAAAGCGATTCTTCTGCCTCAGCTTCCCGAGTAGCTGGGATTACAGGCGTGTGCCACCAAGCCTGACTAATTTTTGTATTTTTGTTAGAGAAGGGATTTCACCATGTTGGCCAGACTGATTCTGAGCTCCTGACCTCAGGTGATCCGCCCACCTCAGCCTCCCAAAGTGCTGGGATTACAGGCGTGAGCCACTGCGTCCCGCTTGTTTTGTTTCGTTTTAGACAGGGTCTTGCGGTTATAGCCCAGGCTGGAGTACAGTGGCACAATCATAGGTCACTGCAGCCTCGACCTCCTGGGCTCGAGCGATCCTCCCGCCACCTCACCCTCCCGAGTAGCTGGGACTATAGGCATGTGCCACCATGGCCTGCTAATTTTTTACTATTTTGTAGAATGGGGTCTCACTGTTTTGCACAAGTTGGTCCCGAATGGCTGGGCTCAAGTGATCTTCCCACCCCAGAGTGATGCCACCGTGCCTTGCTAATTTTTTTTTTTTTTTTTTTTTTTTTTTTTGTGAGATGGAGATTTACTCTTGTTGCTCAGGCTGGAGTGCAATGGTGCGATCTTGACTCCCTGAAATCTCCACCTCCCGGGTTCAAGCGATTCTCCTGCCTTAGCCTCCCAAGTAGCTGGGATTACAGGCGTGCACCACCACACCCGGCTAATTTTTGAATTTTTAGTAGAGGCAGGTTTTCACCGTGTTGCCCAGGCTGATCTTGAACTCCTGACCTCAGGTGATCCTCCCGCCTCGGCCTCCCTAAGTGCTGGGATTACAGGCGTGAGCCACTGTGCCTGGCCAGTGCCTTGCTAATTTTTAAAACATTTTGTAAAATGGGATCTTACTATGTTGCTCAGGCTGGCCTTCAACTCCTAACCTCCAGCGATCCTGTCACCTCAGCTTCCCAAAGTGCTGGGATGACAGGCATGAGCCTCTGCATCTGGCCTAATTTCTGCCTTTATAGATGTACCTATTCTGAACATTTCACAGAAATGGAATCTTACAATATTTGTACTGTAGTTTCGCCTTGATGAAGAATACTGCTGTAAAAGTGGGCGTACACGTTTTTGTTTGAACACCTGTTTTCATTTCACTTGGCTCTATATTGAGCAATGGAATTACTGGGTCACAGAGTAACCCTGTATTGAACTTGTTGGGGGAACTGCCAAACCTTTTCCTCTCAGTTTTATTTGTCATTGTGAAATCTTTCAGGCACACACGAAAGTATTAATAATAAAATCACAAACACCCCTATCCGGCACGCACCTAAAGAAAAATCATTCCAGAGACAGTTGAAGTGGTGCCCCCTAGCCCAAGTCAGGTTCTCCCCAATCTCAGGGAAGCCTCTGTCTGTAATTAGGATTTGATCATAACCACGCATGTGTTAATTTCATCTATATATTTGGGGAACAGGTATATTTAAAACATTATCATATCAGGCATGGTGGCACACACTTATAGTCCCAGCGCTTTGGGAAGCTGAGGTGGGAGGATCACTTGAGCCCAAGAGGTCGAGGCTACAGTGAGCTATGATCATGCCCCTGCACTCCAGCCTGTGTGACAGAGTGAGACCCTATTTAAAAAAAAAAAAAAAAAAAAAAAAATTCAGAGTGGAAAAGTGGCAGGCATTGCTTGAAAACACTGCAAATGGATTTCAGCTCACCGAAACCTCTGACCTCCAAGTTCAAGCGATTCTCCTGCCTCAGCCTCCCCAGTAGCTGGGATTACAGGCACCTGCCACCGCGCCTGGCTAATTTTTTGTTTGTTTGTTTGTTTGTATTTTTAGTAGAGATGGGGTTTCACCATCTTGGCCAGGCTGGTCTTGAACCCCTGTTCTCGTGATCCACCCGCCTCAGTCTCCCAATGTGCTGGGATTACAGGCATGAGCCACTATGCCTGTCTGAACTATTAACTTCTAGATGGTCGAGGCAAGATATTACTGTCGGCCGGGCGCGGTGGCTC